TTCCTACTCCATTTTGCCTTCTTCCTGCCCTTTCTTTTTCCATTTTAAACTTCATTTTTTCCCTCTCTTAGCCTGGTTTTCATTACTCACTCATTATTTTTCTCCCTCTGTCCTTTCAAAATTACTTTTCTATACTTTAGACATCTCATAAGTTTTTAAATTTCTTTTTTCCTGCTTTTTCTCTTTCCACCTATATTAGTCTTTGCTAATTTGTCATTAATATTGCTGTGGTAGATGTTTGTTTTCAATTTGGTTCCTATTTTTTCATCTTTTTAAAAAGATTTAAACCTCATACTATACTCTTTCCTTTTCTTACTCCATTTTGCCCTTTCCCTCCCTTTTTATTTATGACATAAATATTATTTTCTTTCTTCCTTCCCCTTGTTTCTACTCTCCACTCATATTTCTCCTCTCACTTCTCAAAATCACTTTTCTTTCAGTTACTCATCTCATTTCATTTTTCTTTTCTTATAGTAGTCTTAAACTCTTTACACATTTATTAACATTTGCTCATTTGTTGTTGACACCGCGGGTGTAGGTGGGGGTTATTTTTGTGGGTATGGATTTTGTTCTAGCAGCAGCTATACAACAGCATATAAGACACAGTGGGTTGTGTGACCCTCTGTCAGTTAACCTGAAGGAAGAACTCACCAAAGATCAACCCAACAACAACCAAAACCCAATTACAATAAGAGCCCACAAAAATGGCATAAAGGACATCCAAGAGCATCCCGCTCAGGAGATTAAAGAAACTACAGCATGGAGTCCCACAGGTATCTTGCCACAGAAGGCCATCCCACAAAGACAGAGTCAAAACAGAGTGACCTAATACACAGAAACAAACAAGAAGAGTCACCTAAAATGGAGATGCCAAAAAAGGGAAGGCTATCCTCTGTTTCATTTGGAACTTAACTAAAAGTTGCTCCTAATTTTGGAATATCACACCACCAATAGCAGCACAGCCCATGGTACTGAATGTGCCAGTACAGCAATCACCAGCCACTCAAGATCTGTGTTTGCAGCCCTCATGTTCTTGGTGAGCGCATATATATAGGATAGAGCACTCAGACCTGAGCATCTGCATATTTAAATACGTCTTATGGCATTATTAATTACTTGCCTTTTATTTTGCTTTTATATTGTACTTAGGTCATTTTATGGGCTGTAAAAAATTCTGTGTCCAGGTAGGTTGAATTTCATTTCAAGATAGTAAAGGGGCATCACAAGAGATTCATCATAAGGAGCGCTGGCATTTGTTTTGATAGATTTGAGATTGACTAGCCTAGAAATTCTAGAGGGCTCGTCTGGTTTCTTTATGGCTATCAATGGTTTGCTTTATCAGTAAGGATAAGAGAGTTGCAGAACTGTTTTTACCCCTTTCCTTTTTCTTTTTCTTTCTTTTTTTTTTCATTTTCTCCTCTTCCCTTTCCTCCCCTATCATGAATTTTCATTGCCGCCCACTGTCGCATACTGGGCTTTGGTGACCCTGCAAATGCTCTCATTGGGCTCAGTGGACAAATCCTGCCAGTTTCCTGCCCCAGCCCCTTCACAACAAGAAGCAATTTTCATGCTTTCCTTGTCTGTGTTTCACTTGCTTGCACTGGGGCACACATGTGAGGTCAGACAGCTGGAGTGCAGCTGAGGGTACAAAGTTTACTCATTTTGAAAAATGTGGAAAATCTATATATTTGACATGTGAGCTACCAGTGCCTCTTGATTTCCTGTGCGCCGCCACAGATAATGGGACGTTACCAGGCCACTGTATTTTGCCTCTTACTTGGAGCCTTACAAATAAAACCATCACTTCATTTTAGTTTGAACCTCCTTGCCAGATTTAAATTTTATCTCCCATTTATGCTAACATCCTACCTCATTTCTGCTACTGATATGACTATTTTGTGCAGTAAGAGGAAGTGCCTGGTGAGATAAAAAGGAACGTATATCTACAGTTTCAGTTTCAAAGGAATTGGTGCTTTTCTGAGGTTAAAACTATTGCGACAGTATTTACCCAGTTTTCCAACTATAATTCTGATCTTATGGGTAGAATTTTAAATCTTGTAGCTGGGAAGGCAGTTCAACATCATTTCTCTTCATTTATGTCCATGCTGTATTATTTCAACATAATCACACCATAGTTGGATGATTTATGTTTATAGTATGCCATTTATATTGGAAAGTGTGCATATAGACATTGTAATAATTCTAATAACTGCATTTCACTTTATTTTCAGTGGCAGGAAAATGCAATATTCCACCACATTGAGTTACAAAAGCTACATAATGTAATCTTACTAGAACATTTATTCAGTGCCTAATCTGTGCACTGTCAAAAATTTTTCATTGTTATTGGAAAATTAAAACTATAACAAGCTTCACATTGGTATATATGTAATAGTTCTACATTTCTAGTAGTTAAAGCAAATATAATAAATAATTCATGTTTTCTGTCTTTGTTAGAGAAAGGATTAAAAACTAATCTAGGTGATTTACATTGGTATTTGAGTTCTGCTAATTGCATAGACATGTATCATTTAGTAGAGGTTTAACCCATGTTTTTATATTTATTTTCAGAAGTAAAATGCCATTGTATAGACAGCTCAAACTGTCTATGTGAAATATTCTAAGCATTTGATCTTTGAAGCAGACGAAGTCAAGTATGCCTAGAGAGGGTCCATTCTAGAGTTGGCAAAATAGACCTGGGGTCTGACAAATTCTCTAGGACATCGGAAGACTCAGTAATAGCTAAAAATCCCATCCTATGACTCCATAACTGTTCCAATCATTATTGCTGAGCAACAAATTACCCCATAACTTCTGTGCACCAGGAATTCAGGACGGGCTTGATCCAGCAGTTTTCTCCTGCAGTCACAGTCAGACAGAGGCTGGAGTCACTTACTTCCCGTGTGGTGTCTGGAGCAACCAAGGGCTGGGCATTTCTCTTTCTATTCTTGTGGTCTTTCATGTGCTACCTCCCTGTGGACCAGTTGAGCTTCCTCCAGCATGGTAGCCTTGGGGCAGTGAGACTGCTTCCGTGGCCGCTCCGGGCTCCAGTGTCAGTGTTTCAGGAACGAGGCAGAAGCTGCGTGACTTACAACCTAGCCTCAGAAATCATGCAGAGTTACATTCACCTTGTTCTCTTGGTTACGACCAAATCAAAAGACTGCCCAAGTTCAAGGAGAGGGGATATAAACCATACTTCTTCTGGGAGCAGTGTCAGTGACACACCGTAAAAGAAGATGTGGGATGTGTGCTTTGGCGCTGTGACAGCAAGCCTGCTCAGCCTGCGAAGGCTTCTGACAGAGTCCAACTTTTTTGAGTGCATCCCAAAATGAAAGCAAACTTCTGAAAAAGAGGCCCTTGGGCAGTTAACTATATTTGGCAAAATACTAGAACACTGTGCTAATGTAAGTAATCATGAATTACATGATACCCTGCCATCTTTTAATGGAGCTGAAGTATATTTTCAGTTCTCTTCTAGGGCTGTAAAATAAAGAGAAGTTGTATTTTTGCCATGGACCTTTCACAAACCCCTCATCTTCTCCCTCTGTACTTTCTTTTACTGTTGGAAGTTTTTTTTTTCTTCTTCTATGAATATTGGTACCAATTTCATAGCAGTGGGTAAATGTAATTTTATGGTATGGGTTAGACAGAAATTTACCTGTAAAAATATGTATTTTTTAAAAATAAAATGGCCCTGGCTGAGGAGCTCAGTTGGTTAGAGCATCGTCCTGATACACCAAGGCTGTTGTTTGACTCCTGCATATACAAGAATCAACCAATGAATGCATAGATTTTCTGCAAGAGTATTTGTCTCATGTTACGGTATTTAATAAAACTAATAATTAAGTGAACTTATGAGATGGCGCAGGAGATGGAACATAGCAGTCATCCATTCTAAAACAGAAACAATACTCTCAGGCTCTAGCCTGCGCAGTTCTGGAAGGCTCAGGTAAATCACATGGATGGGGTCTAGAATCCCGTATCACATACATTGTTGTACCCTCAACTGACCTCTGTGTGCTCTTGGGAACTCACTTTGGCCAAATGAAGGGAGAGAAGAGAACTTGGGCAGGCTTACTGAGGAGCTGGCATATACGCCTGTGCTGGCTGACAGCAGACTTCTGCTGCACAGCAGCCCCACTCATAGCTGGTTCTGAGAGACAGAGGCGAGCAGATATTCTTCAAGCATCAATACTTCCTACATGGGAAGGTTATAAAGGACTCTTGGTCAGTGGCAGATGACTGGGCTGGTGGCCGGGAGCTAGCAGTGAATGACTACAATATCAGAGACAGGGAGTATTGGGAAAAGGGTGTACGGTGTATCTATGAGATCTTTGTATTCACCGAAAAGAACCTATCACAAAGGAGGTTCTCAACCAGGTAGGCAGTATGACTCTTCTCGTGAATGTCAGCCAGGTCTGTTCTCAAACACTCAGGTGCTAGGGAGGAGGGTTCCAGGGACCTAGGAATTATGAGTACCACTGGGCTACTTTGGGTTCCTTGGGCCAGAAAGCAGTAGGCAAAGAAAGGAGCTACTGTTTTGAAGGGACATTCAACCCTGACCAACACATTCTCCTCACCTCAGACCCTGTTGCCCCTCAGCTGTGGGCCAGGCCTGAACTGGGAGAAGAAAGAAGGTTTAAACCAGATTTGACTGAAGTATACAAGTAGGTCTAGACAAACTGATCCCTGAAAATTCTGTCTAAATTGTAATTAAAAAGTAGGGGATATTGCCTGAGATGGCATTAAGGTTGGGCACAATCAAAGGCTGTGGTTGGAGAAAAGTAAAAACATTTTCTGTTTATACATCATCTAGTTGAGCCTCTTCAATAAACCATTTAAAAGTATATTATTCATAAATATAGAGGAAAATCTCAGAAGAAATAGTGAAAAGATGAGGAGTTTGTTTCTGGGGAGCTTGATTTAGAGTTGGAGTAGAATTTATTTTTTCCATTATGAGCTTTGCTCACAAAGTTTTAAAAACTGTATACAGAGGAGACTTTGATAAAAATGCAATTTTATTTAAATAAAGCAAATGTTCTAGTGTGAAAGGAGTAGCGGAGAAAGGGTTGACATGGAGAGCTTAGAAATTCAGACTGGCCCTGCACCTGAAAGTATGGGACATCAGTTTTGAACTGGAGAGCCCTTGCAACCTTCTAGTCCAGGCTTCTTAATCCAGAAGGCAGAGATGAAGGAACCCACGGATGAGGCTCAAGGGGCTTCAGGAATATCCTTGAAGATTTCTATTCAAAATGTTGCGGACGTGTACATTTTCAGGGAGGGAAGGAGATACTAGAGGTTCATTGCGTTCTTAGAATTCCCCCTGCCCCGCAAAAGGAACTGAGGAGTGCTGATCTGCTATCGTTTATGTAAAATAGCAAGGACCATACATTAGTAAAGAATGGCATGTTTGACAGAAGTGAGTGGAACGACTATTGCCCCACGTTGTTTACAGTCGTGACCACTCAGGGGTTTGGTGAGATTGATCGGAGTCAGCGAGGGCTTCCACTTCACCCACGTTGTTTGGATTTTTTTCAACAATGAAATTACATTAGGCATTATTTATTAAGTTAAAAATTTAACTACTGGTTTGACTGATTTTTCTCATTTTCCAATTGAGAAAATGAATTTCGGAGATGTGGTGTAACCGTCCAAGCCGCACACCTTGACAGAGGTGAGACCAGCCGCACGTCTCCGGCGTTTCACTCTCGGGCCGCCGCAGTGCCCTGCTGGCATCCCCGCTCGTGCGAAGGGATCCCTGCTGCCCTCGGGAGGACCCCTGATTTTAAAGTAAGCTGCAGCATGTTGCACAGGCAAGTACAGTTTTATAAGCCAAACAGTTTTACAAATATCATAATAATACCATCACCACTTCTTACACGTAGTGATAAGAAGGTAGTAAAAAAATTGATTTACACAGGATTTCAGTGTCAGAGGAATTCCAGAGCTTTTGGTTTTTGAACTCCTCTTCTTCCGCTAGACCACACCGCCTGATCAGTATGAGCAGTCGTTCTAAACGTACCTGGTGAGGATCAGAAACAGCTAGTGGGAATGCGCCCTGAGTAGTGAAGAGCACTGACTCTAGAGTCAGACCACCAGGTTTGAATCCTTTTCTCACTTATCTGCTGTGTGACTTGGAGCAAGTTGCTCAACCTCCCTCAACCTCAGTTTTCTCACCTGTAAAACGGGAACAATAACAATACCACCTCCAAGGATTATAGTTGTATATGTAAAAGCACTTACCACTGTGCCAGGCATAATTCAATGTTAGCTGTTGTTCTTCTTAGTGGAAGATTCTCAAAAGGGAGTCTCCTTTTTCAGGTACGGCACAGCACAGCTTGGAGAAAACAGGCACTCTACATGTGGAAAGGGAGAGTGTCAGGGAACACCTGCTGAGGTGAGGGTTCGAGCTGTGTGTCCCCAGCGCGGGGCCAGCCGTCAGAGAGGGACATTCAGGGGAAAGTGACACACTTCCTGTCACTCGTTTGATGATTTTATGGGGTGCGGAAAATAACAGATGCTGAACCCCCAAATGGTAGCTGCAGGGAAGAGGAAAACTTTAAAGACTCTGAACCACCAACAATTCTAAATGTATTGGAAAAAAATCCTCCCAACTCCATGAGAGTTGGCATGCCGCCTTAGCACTGGAGTCCTTCTCTTCAGAGAGCATGAGAATGACCTGGTGTTTTTGTGAAAATAAAGATTCCCAGGCATGTCCCGTGATGTTCTGATCTAGTGATCCAGCATCGTTTTTGCCAGCTGAGTTTCCCAGTGTGCCTTCTGACCACCTGCTTTGAAATCACCTGCAGATTTGTTTAAAAGTGTCGCTTCCCAGATGATCCTGATAAGCATTAAAGTGTGAGAACCATCAGAAAAGACCTTTACATACGTGGCCTCTCCTGAGGCAGATCAAATAACAACGAGGTTCCAAGGGAGTCACTGTGCTGTGATAACTTAGGTGCAGAGGGAACCCGATCGTAGCAATTTATCCGTGTGTTTGACCAGTGGCAACCAACTCTCAGAAGGCTCACCATGCCCATTTTTCAGTGTTGGAGTCGAACTTGGTAACTCAGAGTTGAAATCTTCTTTCTCTCCTTGAACACTCAGGCCACTGAGTCAAGAATTTTTTTATGGTGTTGATTTATCAGATAAGTCCCATCAATCTGGGATTAGCCCAGTCAAGAATTGTGTGTTATTTATTATTGATAACTTGGGTTAAGAAGAGCTCATAAAAATTTCACTAATTGCCCCATGCAAGCAGAGGGTAACGTTTTTATGATGCAATAAACTCTCATTCCCCAGCTTGACAGACCAGTGTGCATGAGTGCTAACAGATCCTTACAGTGGTCAGATTTGTACTGTTCAACATTTCGAATACAATTACTGTAGTGAAAACCTTTTTGCACAGGCTAATGAGACTTTAAGTGATATCAACCAGGAGGCAGATCCAATCACTCACATAAGAGCTCTCTGGTTTCAAAAACAGACTGTTCAATGAGAAAAAGACCAACAACCCAATAGGAAAGTGGTGTAGCACTTGAAAAAGTGCTCAGCTTCACTCATAATGAAAGAAATGCAAACTCCAAGAGACCATTTTTTTCACCTCCTAGACTGATAAAGATCAAGAAGTGTAATAGGCAAGAGTGCCGTGCATTGCTGCTGAGACTGTAAGTTAAAAGAAAGTTTTGGGAGGGAAGTTTGGCAATGTCTGTAAAAAATTTAAATGTGATGAAATAGACTCAGAAAATTTTTTTTAAATTATTGACTCCAGAGAGAGAGGAAGGGGGAGAGAGAGACATGAATTTGTGGTTCTATTCATTCATTCATTCATTCATTCATTCATTGGTATTGAGACAATGCTTCAACCAACAGAGCCACCAGCCCTCCAGTAAGAAAGAGCAAAATGACCAGATGGCAACAGTCACAAAAGATCACAGCCTGCACTGTGTGGGTCACAGAAGTCAGGGTGTCTCCGAGGTGGGCTCTGTGTGAGCAGGGGGACTCTCTGCAGGGGCTGAAGGACTGAGTATCAACATATTTACAGTCCTGCTTTTTGAAAAATAAGGAATTTTACAGAGTTAAAATTGTGTTTGTCATAGTTGTGGACAGTTTGAGCACCCTGGTTTACCCCCCAAGGGAATGATTAAATCTTCCTTGAGACTGTTGATGTCCATGCATAAAGTATTTTCCTAGTAGTCTTCCTCAGGCAGAGCCAGATTCAGTATGAAAACCCCAGAAAGTGAGGTACTGCGGGTCCAAGGACATTTAAGGGGAGTATTACAGGCCAGTGTGGGGTGGTTTTGAAAACTCTGATTTTGTCCACTATCTGTTTCACCCATTTTAAGCTTTGGTACCTGTATACCCACGAATGTTGGGTGGTCAAGATGTTAGATGAAGCAAGCCATCTACCACAGCAAATGCAAGTCTGTATGGAATTTCCACAGCTACTCAAAGGAAATTGTAGGGTAAACTAGGTGATTCAATAGTTATTGGGAAAGAAGAGCTGCTATTTCAAACCTGTTGAGTAGTGAGGAATAACAGCTCCCTTTGGCTTCACACACCAACACTGAAGCTGTCAGCTTCCTCAAGGGTATGTGGGCAACTCTCCTGGTGTTTTCACTTTAGCCACAGTCCAGGAAGAAGCATACCTCAGTTGTTCTCCCTTGAGGTCGGAGGTGATCAGCAGGATGGTCCCTACCTTGTCCTGAAACCCAGGGCTCTGCCTGGAGCATCTCATTAGCTAAAAGGAGAAGAAAACCCAGAAAACCCGCAAGAAGCCTTGACCGGTTCCAAGTCTGGTTTTAACAGAGAAAGAGTGATGCATTCTAAGAGCTTCACTTCTCTATAAGATGCTCTCTGTGACCTTTTCAGAGCAAGCTCTCAAACATAAACAGAAACTCATGACGACTCTGGAACTCTGCAATCCCTTGGGGCGTCCCCTAAACACAGGTCCACTGGATTTGCCCTGTTGGAACCCACTCTGAACTAGTCTGGGGACACTGACTGTAAATACCCAAGAGACCAACATTTTCATTGGAAACCCTCCACTACTTGCCCACCTATAAGTGAATCTGTGGATATTTGCATGGGCAATCTACCAGCCATTGCTCTAGCATTTTCCATCAGCCAAGTACTCACATAAACTTATTCCAATGTCTACCTCATATATTTTGCCTGGTTCAATTTCTCTGGGCCTTCCTTAGTGCATCGTTGGTAACCTCATTTGCAATTGACCATATCTGAGAATGCCACGTAGTATCTTCTGGTGGTGAAATGAAGGTAGATTCAGATGCCTGGATTTAAACCATGGGTCTACCACCTGTCAGCTGGGTGACCTAGGGCCAGTTTCTTCACCCCTCTCTGCCCGAGTTTCTTTCTCTGTAAAATGAGACATAACACGACCTACACCATAGGGTTGATTTAAGCCTGTAAACGCAATCATCTATGTAGCTGACAGCACTTTTTCATTTTGGGTTTACATGAAGAGGAAGTAAAGCATTCATAAAACATTTAAAACAGGAGGAAGATATTCTTGATAATAAGAATTAGTGCTGGCTTGGATTACTAGAAGGAGGCATGGAATTAACTTAAAACAGAATAGAATTCTTCTCTTGGGATAATTTAGGTGTTGCACTTGGTGGTAGTTAATGGAGAAAATGACCTCTCACTACCCCTTCTAGATTCTCATCTAACTGCAGACTCAGAGGCTGGATCACAGGGTTAAATGGACCCCCAAACCTAGCTCTCTTGGCAGTGGGAAGCCAGAAGTTCTAAGAGTTAATCTCCCAAATGTGCTGCTTAACTGTTGGCTGAAGGGTAGGTACAAGAAGACAGCTTGAGAGCCGCACTCCTCTTCTGCTCCATCCTTATGTTTCTGTTGCACAAATGCAGCAAAATGAGTAGCAATATTTTCATTGAAAATATGCCTCATGCAAATCAGTTTGGTAAATATGGAATTTAGCCTTTATAAAAGAGCACCTGTTCCCCTCCCTCCCATTCCTCCATTTAATTTTTGCATTCAGATGTGCTCTGCTTTTGCGTAAGCCTAGTCCCATACACTGTTACAGGAACAGACTTGCTGGTTTTGAATCCGGTCGAACACACACTCCTATTTTCCAAGAAAAATCTTCTCTAAAAATTAGAGGCACCTGCATGGTGCTTTTTGAGTAACACGCCTGAAGTTTGAGTAATAGGCCTGAAGACTATTTCCATAGAAGTGAAATATATTGACGTTTTTAAAACTTGAGACCTATTCAGAGTTGATCTGGACTCTTTCTGGGTTAAACGAGACAACAGGGCAGGTCTGAGGGCTGTCCCCGGTCTGCCCAAGGCCCCCGCGTGCACAGCAGCTCCATCCCCTCCGGGTGCGGTAAGGCTCGGGTTAACTGCTCTTATCTGAGGAGGAGCTGGGGGGTTAGCTCAGTTGTGGTTTGGTCTGGGTGGTTTCCTTTTTCCCTCGCCTTCAGAGTGATATTTTAAAATCACAAACAGAACCTGGGGAGAGGAGGCCCAATTTGATACCTTTGAACCTTGATGGCCACTTTATAGATTCAGATTTAGAGGGATTGTTGGGTGGGGATTTGCAACCCAGGAGAGCCTTTCAGAGACTTTCACAGAATCTGAGTTTCCTGAAACGTGTGTGTTTTTGTGTAAGACCTGTCAATAGAAATATCAAACTGTGAATATACAATTGAACTTTATTATCTCTTTTGATTTTGTAACTACATAGGTATGACAGACAGAGGCCGATTTGAAAGGGAACTCACAATTGCCAGCGTGTCCCTTGTGTGAATCCCACGGCTGGAAGTTTTTCTGTAAATCAGCATCTTCAGGTAGGGGCTGCACGGGTGCCTCCCACTGACTCTTGAGGTATGTTTTAATTAAGGAACATGAAATCTCTTAACTGTCTGTCGCAGAGTGCAAGTGGCCTTGTGTCCTGAAACGCGGCTCTGGAGATGGCATTGTGGGGATCCATATTTACTCTGCACAACTTTCATTTCAAAGAGTCTTACCTTGTGAGCCAAAGAGCCTTTTCTTTTCTTTTTTTTCCCTTTTTCCCCCTTTCTGCTTATCCCTGAAATGAACTAAACCTGAAATTCAAGAGTCAAGCTGTGCTCTTTCTGCCTCTGATGCTGTTAGAAAGCTAGAAGGTGGGAGCTGGTCTTCAAACAATTGGCCTCAAAATGAAAATCTTGCCTCACTGAGGGATTCAGAGAGTTGAGGCTAAGGCCACCTCTCACCTGCAGTAGCAGGAGTCACACCGAAGGGCCACGCTTTCTGGTGTTTGCAGTTGCTTAAAGTAACAGGAAGTGTGGCTTGACATTAGTTCTCTAATTCTTTCCTCCCAAAACCTAGATCTTAGTAAAACAGAGAATTGCACCAGACTCTGTGAATAAAGTCACTATTAAGGATGCTTTCAGTTTAAACCATTTAAGCAGAAGTTGCTAGAGATAATATAGATTGGTAAAGTGTAATTTATATGTTTATATAAAGCATTGTATAAAGTAACACAGATTGGTAAAGCACACTAACTGAGGGTATCAAAAGCCAAGGCCAAGGTAATTAGTGTGATCTGAGACGAGGCATTTGATCCATTTCTGCACCTATACCGTAAGAGGCTGGCCCAGATAATCTATAAAATATTCCTTCGGTTCCAAGATTCCATGACTGCAGTGATATGTGAAGGACATAATGGAGAGACAGAGAAGTTATAAACGATAGTCATTGCCAGGGATACCCTTCAAAACCACAACAGGACGGCCTCTGGAAAGGAGAAGAGGGGAACAAGATTGAGGTGACAGGCAGAGAAGATTTTAGCCATATCTGTCATTTCTTTTTCCTATTTAGAAGGAGACTGGACTCTCATACTAATTGTGCAGCTAAAAATTTATCTGAAATCCAGAAAACTCGAAAGTAAATTCTGTTAGAATGGGCCAAAATGCTGTTTCCCTCCCCTGCCCAGCAAGTTGCAAAACAATGCATACAGCATGGTGTTATTTATATGAAATGTGCTCACACTTACAACTATTCTATGTATTTTATACAGATATATATGAATGTAAGTGTGCAGAGATAGGTGTGGAAGTATATGTACCAAGCTGATAGAAATGGTTACTTCAGGAGCAGGAGTGTATGTGTTGGGTAGTGATGGTTAAAGATCACTTCAGACTTATCTGTAGCACGTTTGGGTTTTATAGGATGAATGGATTCATGTATTTCCTGTCCAATGGAGGCATACAATTTATACATATGCGACTTTAGGGTAAAGTGTATATGCACATGCACACACACAAACCTTTTGCCCAAAACAAGAATTTACAGTGTCATTGAAGAAATTTCAAGGACTGTAGACGTTCAACAACTGGAGAACAATCCTGAGGCAAGCTGTTGGCAAGCTCAGCTCACCTCCTTGGGGGAAGCCTTCGCCACCTATTATGCCCACATTGGCCTTGCCCTTCTTGAATGCCTACCAACATCACTTCTCTCCTCACCACACCTCTTTCCCCTCCCAGCATCTCGTGGGGTCCAGCCCGATAGATCCCTGAAACAGACACAATCACATTTCATTCCAAGTTTCTACCTCAGAGGCACAAGCCTAGCACCTTACCCCATTTGCTATTTTTCTCCTCACTCTACGTACCTCAGCTCTCAAGGAGTACCTGTCCCTTGTCTCTGCTGTAAGCACGCCCCAGGGAGCCTCCTAACCATGCATCCTCCAGAGACTGGTCCACAGCTGCCGTCTCAGAATCTCTAGACGAGGGCACCAGACACCCACACCGGTAACCTGCACTGCAGAGGGTGTTTATGTCAGGTAGCATCAGCAAACACTGCTCTGCGGTCTCACACAGCACCGGCACTGCCCCAAGGAGAGAAAGAAACATTTCCTTCTTATGTGGGATGAACGAAACATGGCTTGGACTTTCCTACTCCTACAGACCCAGAAAGGAGAGCAATTTGGGATTATGCATCAAACCCCTTAACCAGTAATGCCCCTTCCAGGATCCTTATAACAACAATAAGAAATGAAGATAAAGATTTATGTATAGATATTCACCATGCAGTTGTTTATGGTTAAGTATGAAAATGGTTAAGTGAAGTATGATTCTTCCCTGCAGTGGTACTCATATAGTCATCCAAAAAAAGGAAGGAGAATTTTTTTTTATTTTAATTGTTGTTCAAGTACAGTTTTCTGTCTTTTACTCCCATCCCAGGGAAGGAGAATTTTTAAGTGCATGGTTATGCTTATGGCTACACATTAGGGAAGTCATCAGGAATCAAAACTGTATTATTAACATGATTATTTTATACCTAACAAAAGGGCAGAGGCAAAAAGGCTGAAAGAATATAAGGGAAGGGAAAGATTAGCACAAAGAGAGGTCCTACACAGGTACGTACCTGAGAAAGAAGAGAGTTAATTGACATGAATCGGCCCTCACGTCCTGGCGCTCTTACCCTGTCAGTACCGGTAATGAAGGAACACTGAGCAGACAATTTGGTTGACGATGTGGGAGGCAGAATATCACACAGCTGCTTTGCCCACAGCTGTATGGCTTCGCAGCGTTGACAGCGTGAAAAAAAGGAGAAAGACAAATAGGAAATAAAACCTTGTCTCGTGCTGGGGAAGAAGCAGATGGGATGTGACCCACACAAGGAGCCTTGGTTTGATTGGTAGAAGTTACTCATCTGACTTGAATTTCAGACCCATAATTTGTATCTTTTAATGAAGTTTCCATTATTTGGAGTTTTTCTTCCTCCCAGGGCTTCTAAGTAGCTTTTTATAACCAATATTTATTTCTATATGTTCTGTTTTATGCTTTAAAAAATCTCTATAAACAAAATCACTATAATATGCACTTCCCTTTGAACCCCACCCAGCACACACACACAACCCATTCTCTCCTCACTACCTCCAAGTGGTAAGTAAACTCCTCGTATTGTTGAAAATCAGAATAGAAGCTGGTATACGCAGGAAGAGTGAAGTGGAGGATTAAGTCATTTTTTAGTGAACTTCAGCTGGATAGACAATCTGCCTAACTATATCATGCTTTTTTTTTCCCCTCAATAGCTGCCCTTTTTTTTTCTTTTTTATGGCCAAAAATATATGTGAATGACACCCCATCTCTCCCTTTCCCTTTGGCCAGAATCATCTTGTCACCGCTCCCTAGGTCAGATGTCAAGTAATTAAGAGAATGATATTAACACATCAATTCTGAGAATTTTCAGTTTTATGAAAGCATCTATTTTAGCACTCTTGCAGGTGGCTGCGGCTCACAAAGCCTGTCAGATGTACTGGACGCTGAAAGGTTCAAGGGCTGCTTGTGTTTTTCAAATGCCATCCGAGGAATCTTTTCACAAATCCCCGCTATTGTTCGACATAATTTTTGTGGCTCATAGGGACTTAAATGCAACTGGACAATTTTAAAGAAACCAAAATATGACAAAGGAAATAATAGCCCTTTATTATAAAGCATTCTCTTCTTTCTCTTGCCCTCCCTCCTCCACTTTTTGAGCCACTGCCTTAGGCTGGCTGATGCAACTTGTGTCTGAGAATGCTTGAAATTTTAGGGTTTCGACTACACTGGTTTTATAGAATATCTGAAGCATTGTGCACATATTAGATTACCATAAATTAGCAGGCTCTTACTTTATTTTTATTTAGAACATGAGGACATTGAAAAGCAATGTATGGCTTTCAGGACAGGCTCATGTGATTGATTTAACACCAACTTGATAGTAATTATAATCTCTGTAGAGTGAGACACTCAGCGAATGAGGCAGCACTCTATGCTTGGCCAGGAAGGAACACTACTTTAAATCATTTTAGTCTTTGAAATTATTTGCAAATTTTCAAAAGCAAATAGAAATGCATCTATTTCATCCATTTTACCTTGTCATTTTCCTCTTCTTCATCTCCCAAAGACTTCTCATTACCTTAAAAAACCTTTTTCTATTTCATTTCCATTTTCCTGTTCACCCTGTATGTAATAAAAATGATGATGATGGTTGATATTTATGAAGTCATTACTACATGTAGGGCATGGAACTAAGCACTTTTTTACATATTAATTTATTTAAAACTCACAATAGTCCTACGAGGTCAGTACTGCTATTATTTCCATTTTCCAGACAAGGACATTGGCAAATGTCCTTGTCTGGAAAAAGCCAATGTCCTTGTAGAAAAAGCCAATTTAAAACTCATTAGGATCAATAAATAAAACCTAAGTATAGCAGATTTATGAAATCTTCATGGGGTTAAAAAAGGCAATTCCTCCAACAACTAAGGCTCATCTAAGAAGTTTGCTCCAGGGAGAGTGAATCTGGGGAACCAAAACCCAGTGTTTTTCTTCCAATATTCTCTGCTACCACTACACCACCAGTCATAATTTGGGAAGAGAAGGTTATCAACAGAGAGAAAAATGGGGACTCTCTCCTGTTCTGGCAACTAGAGCACCACCGGACAGGCAAGTAGTGAATGAATCCCAAACTAGTAATGGGCCAGGCTTGGAGCCTGGTGATGAGGGCTGGGGCTAAAATTCAGTTTAAAACTAAAAAATGGAGTTAGGAACAGTCAGGTAAGCTCAGCAGTAAACAGATGTCAATATGAAACAGAGGTTAGCGAAAGAAAGAGAGTTTGTGGACAAGACCAAGAATAAAGGCTGCAGGGGGGTGATGGTGAGTCTTGGTCAGGAAATAGGTAAAACCTCTGACTCTCCATCGAACCCCGCAGACCCAAGAACTTGCTGGAGGGCTGTTTCAGGGACATCATGGTCGTTCTCTTTCTGGTGTCCCCTTCTAACTGTGAAGCCCAATATGCTAATCCTGGTGGATGGTCCAGCTCCTATTTTTTAGAAAGAAAGAAAGAAAGAAAGAAAGAAAGAAAGGAAGGAAGGAAGGAAGGAAGGAAGGAAGGAAGGAAGGAAGGAAGGAAGGAAGGAAGGAAGAAAGAAAGAAATGTTTGGGAATGTAAAAGAGCTTAAACAGAACAAACTGAACTTCTGCCAACCTATTTTTTCAATGAGCAGAATCATTAGAAAAGGATAATGAAAGTGGAGAGCTTCACATTTATAAATTTCTGTGACTAGAGTTTGCAAGGACTCTAAAACCGGTCATTCTGTCAGCTCTGGGTAACATCTGCTCGACCACAATGGAAACCATGGCTGGGTCAAGGCAAGGCTGGGTCAAGGCTGGGTACAAGAAAGAGACAGGGTGGCTTCCAGACAAATGGGGTGCATCTCCATGCAGCAAGTTATGACCCCAGGGCAAAGCCAAATCCGAGAACTATGACAAATAGGGCCCCGTGTGGGGCCGGGGGCAGCACCCAATGTCTGTCTGAAGCTTTCTGTGCAGTCCTGGAGCAGAGACCAGTGCCTGGGGGCACCCGTTCAGCCTCTGACGCAGAGGTGTCCTTCACACCTCCAGGCTGTTTCCTTCTTGCTTTGACCATAAATGGGATAATCATTAATTAGCCAACTACACAAATTATCTTTCAGTCTGGACCTGTTTTTCACCCTCACCATAGCACATCAGAAAAATGGTCTAAAAAGTTCATTATTTTGTTTCCCATAGGCACCAACAGAATCCCTAATACTGCTGATATTTGACCAAAATCACTATAATTACCTCACTTCCTGTGGAAATTAGAATTAATGGTCTCTAGTCTCCCATGAGAGGTAAGGAAGCACCATAGTAAGTATAAATACTTATTGTATAAAATATTGCTTAAATATTTAAGTTGATAGACCAGGTTCACAGTTTTGTGTTATTTGTTCCTGTAGAACTTCACAAATTATAGACAAAATGTCATCAGCTGGAGTCGGGTTGTGCCCGGATAGAGCACAGGTTCAGAACTTTCAGCACACAGTCCTACCAGGCATGCCTTTTATCTTAAAGAAGCCATTATTAAAGCAGTGGCGTGGATGTTTATGTCTAATTTCAGTAGTGCAATGTGCCATTTAGAGTAAGACTTAAATGAATATAAACATTTATATTCACATTTAAATATTAGGCTTTTAGAAATGGACCCATCTCCTTAGAGGACTTATAATTTAATCCCCTCAATTAAGTTAAGAAAACAGAAGCTTGGAAAAGTAGGTGGCTTGCCCAAGGTTACACAGCTACTTAGAAAGAAAGCTAGAACTAGGTAGAGATCAGGTTTCCTCTCACATTAAATTTCATGTCTCGGTTCCACCATATATAACGTGAAAGAGCTGAGCTAGATAGTCCTGGGGAGGTCTCTCTCTGCTCTCAAATGTGCTTATCCTCCTGGGCCTGAGCAAGCCTTCACACCAGCACCTGGTGTTGTGCTGACTTCCATTCAGCTCTGACCTAGGGAGGCACAGCAGCTTTGCTGTCAGAGCTCCCCCCGCCCGCTAAAATTATACAGGTTTCAGGTGCCCAATTCCACACTGTCATCTCTCCATTGTATTGTGTGCTAACCACCCCAGGTCAAGTCTCCTTCCATCACTACTTATTTCCCTTTACCTTCTCCCACTCTCCCCATGCCCCTCCCCTCCAGCAATCACCATCTTGTTGTCTATATCCATGAGTCTTTTTTTTCTTTGCTTAATTTCTTCACCCTTCTCCCACAGACCCCAACTACCTCTCCTCTGACAGCCGCCTGTCTGTTCTCTGTATCTGTGAGGCTGTCTCTCCTTTGTTAGTTTATTTTTTTCATTAGGTTCCACATATAAGTGAAATTGTACTGTACTTATCTCTCTCTGGCTGTCATTCACAAGTCTTCAAATCCCTCACCCCGCTCATTTTTGGCATTGGGTGAAGATCTCTGAGTCTCTAACACATTCATTCTATCAAGACCCCCATCTTGTTCAATTCTTTTTCTATCAGACAGGCTTGCCCTTTTGACTGGGGTCTGTGTTCATTTTCTTCTGCCCCCAGCTCACAGTGTCCTAGCATGCCAGCCTGCCGCCCAGCACCAGCACTTATGTGCCTTCCAACACACTTGAGTGCCTTTGAGGGGCACTGGGGTAAGAGATGGCTACATAATTTGCAGGTCCCAGTGCAAAATGATAATGCATGCTACTTACTCATGATCTGTGAAATCTAGTTCAAAAGGAAAGTGTGAGTCAAAATACTAAAAATATAAAGCTTTTCCTTTTCTTTATGGTCTCTTTCTCTTGTTTTTTTTTTAAATTTTTACTGTACATTTTTATATCATGCAATTCCACTTTTAAATTCAAATATAACTTGTCAGTGAAATCAATGAAATGATACAATTTGTATTTCCTGGCTCATTCATGCGTATGTACTTTGTTCTCACAAGAACAATGGAAATGCTGCATAAAACTACTTCAGTTCTTTTTATTGTGCTTCCTTCTTGATACTCCCATGTTGTATCAAAACTGTCTATCTTCCACTTATTGATGACTAAGGAAGGATTTCAAGGGAAAGGAATTGTATTTTGCTCTTTCTCTTTCCTTTAATGTCATCATTTTCAGCGTAGGTGATTGGCTAACACAGGGAAGTAACATGGATAAGAAAGAATATGATAGTGCTCCTCGGTGTTTCTTAGAACACCATTTCCTTCTTTTG